GGGGGGGGGGAGGGGCCCTGCCATGGCCACCTCACTGCTGGGCTGCTGAGCCACAGCGCTGGCATGACACTGTGGCACCTGCTGTGCTGGGGCTTCCAGGGGCTGGAAGAAGGCCCAGCCATTATGGGGACACCCTCCCACCTCCCCCTGGGCAGGCTGGGGGCTGCCTGCCACAGGGGTGGGGAAGCCCAGCCCCCAACAAATATGGCTACAGGAGGGCTCTGCCACCCCTGGGAAGCCAGGAAGGGGAAATGAATGCATTAAGCTGCCTGCCTTCACACTTCCACAGCTCCCCCCCTCTCTTGTACATATCTGACACTGTGTTAGTAAAAGCACTTGGTGAAACCCCTGCCTGTGTCCTGGCTGTGAGCCCTCAGCAGTGGGCGGGACCCCCAGAGCAGAGGGCAGTGCCAGGCTCTGCTCTACCCAGGCCAGTCCCAGCCGAGTCAGAGGTGGGAGTAGATTTTTTAATGATAATTACATCTCAGAAAGGGTCTAACAGCAGCTGATTGTCAGACTTGTACAGTTTAAAAATATAAAACCTAAGGAGGCTCCTATCTGTTCCGGTGCAGCCAGTGCCCGGCTCTGCCTGGCCCCTCACACGTACTGCTTCTTCTTGGTGGCTGCCTTGCTCGCCAGGTCCTTGGCTTTCTCTGTAGCAGCCAGAGCTGTCTCCTTGGCTTTCTCAGTTGCTTCCTTGGCAGTCTCCACCAGAGTTTTGGACGGAGCTTCTCCTGTAAGATAGAAGTCATTAAACCCAGCTGCACCCGGCCCCTGTCCCAAAGGTGATTTCCCTACGCAAGGGGAAGCTGAGCCTGGTGTTCCTGCCCAGTGTGTGTCAGGGCCTGTGGCAAACGGGAACTGCAGGCACGTGACACATTAAGTTCTACTCCTGCCTGCACTCCACCCCTGCCCGGCCCTGTGACAGCTGCCTGGCTGCTCTGCTCAGGAAGAGCCAGCCCTGCCCAGATGTGAGGGCAAAGGCAAAGGACAAGGATTTCACAGTTGGACTGGTTCAAGCCAGGACCTGCCCATGGACTGGAGTGTTCCCAGTGTGAACTGTAACTCCCAGAGACCCGTCTTGGCCAGCCCCAGCCTGCCCCTGGGTGCTCACCTTGCATTCTTGCTAGCACATATTCAAATCCCTTAGTGCTCTTGGTCACGTTGCTTTTGAACCTGGCCAGACCAAACTCCTGTAAGGAAAGAAAATCAGTGAAGGTGCAAGTTCCCCGGTTACACACAGCCCCTGGAGCTTTGTCTCTGCTTGACCTGTCCCAACCATGGGATGCAGAGATGATTCTGCGTGCCCCAGGAGCTCACGAAGATGAGGGGAAAAAAGCAACAGGGAAGCAGTGGAGAGCAACTTTGGGGCACTTCTGAAGAGAGGGTGCACAGTGCTGCATGAGCAGTTGGCAGCGCTCACCTGGATAGCCCGTGAGACACCAAACAGGCTGGAAGAGACCCAGGCTTCCCGCTTGACCTCGGTCCAGTTGCTGTTCTCTGGGTTCACCCGGTACACGCAGCGCTCCTCCACCACCTGCACGAGGCACAGACTGGCTGTGGGCACTGCCTGGTGCCTGCCAACCTGCCACATGCCCGCCCGTAGGCACCTACCATGAGACGTGCGTGGTTGATGTTCCAGGTGAATGTGGTCATGGTTCGGTTCTTGGGGTCCACGATAGAGTCCTCTAGGATGTAGACAGAGTGGGCGACGTTGGCCGGGAAGAAGCGCTCTGCCCAGCGGGGCATCCGGTTAGTCTTGGTCAGGAGCCGCCGGGACAGCAGCTTGTGGTCGGCAGTCACCTCCCGGTGCACAATGTCTTCGGTCAGGACATGTTTGCTAAACGGGGGAAGAAAACATCAAGCCCCGCTCGCGGCCAACAGGCCCTCGGGTGGGGCTGGGAACCACCAGGCATCGAGTCGGGGGAGCGTCCCCGCGGGGCGGCCAGGGAAAGGGCTGGGCAGGGGGGACACGGGCCCG